ATTTCTACCTACATTTATTTGTTTATTGTATTTTTTGGGGAAATTAATTGTATGCTTATTTATTTATTGAGCATTTATTTATTTATGTAATTATTTTTAAATATGGCAGAGTTGGTCCTCCATATATTAAATCTTCTACAATAAAAAAAATACATGTATCTTCATGTTTATAACCTTTAAGGGGCGCTATGCTCATCAAACGCCACAGCAGCTCTGCTCCATCCAAGATGGCGTCGTCCGGGGCGGCTGCTCCGCATCATCACTGGGCGGGACCGCTTCACGCTCGCAGCAGCTGAGCACTTCCGCCGGGGGGTCAGGTTTCCCATCTCTCCGTCATTCGGTATTTAAATTGGACTGCAGGATTTCAGCTGCTGCCCCACTCCGCTTTGCGCCGTGAAAGAAAATAACACCAACCGCTAGCTGAAAGAGTTAGCTTTTAAATTTGGGGCTCGAGAGCTACGGAATCCAGGGAGGTTTTTGGGTTGTTTTGTAGAGAGGCTGAACAATAACGGTGGATGCATATTGACAGCTGCTCGGTGCATCATTTCTAGGACTTCTCTGCTAACAACCGGATCATATTGAATAGCGGTAACCTCTACCAGAGCGGAATAATTGCGATTATTTTCAAAGGGAGTTTGTTTACTGCTGCAGATTAGTAAACAAAAACAAAGTCATTGAAAGCAGAGCTGGGTTGCATCAGTGGCCTGGAGCTGGAAGGACCAACAAGTCCGTTTAGGAAAGACATTTAAGATTTAATTGATGCATATTGCCATTTCACTGACTGTTTTTGTAAATATGAGTAAAGAATAAAATAATATCCAAATTATATCATAAAATTTATTCAAAAGATTTTCTGCAAGCTTAACATAAAAATTGAATTCAGTTGATTCTCCTGTAGCATAGTCTATATTAAGCTTGGATAATTTTTAAAAGATAGTTCTCTAGTTATCTTTTAAGTGTTATTTTTCTTTAAAAAAGTTAGCAGAAAATAATTCACCCTATATTCTATATTATTTTTTTTTTCATTTATGCAGAAATTTCTCCCTTTATGCCACATCTTCAAGTCATATTAGCCATTCTGATCCTCCTGCTCAAGATATTCTAAGATCTTACTCCCTAAAAGTTGGTGAATTAGTCCACCTGCAGGTAAACAATGTTCAGCTGGCTTGGAACCGATGACCGGAGGAAGAAGGAGCCAGAAGTCTTTCAGACTGTCAGTGATGGACTGAAAAAACTCTACAAAACTAAACTCCTACCGCTGGAGGAGAGCTACAAGTTCCATGAGTTTCATTCTCCAGCCCTGGAGGATGCTGACTTTGACAACAAACCGATGGTTCTACTGGTGGGGCAATACTCCACTGGAAAAACCAGCTTTATACGGTAAGACTACAGCCCTGGATTCAATTATTGAATGTTTTTCTAGACATCCTGACACTTAAAGTGCTCTACGCTCCACCCACTCTCATTAACTCACACTAAAATTAAAACAATTATTTTTTGTCTAATATTCACTTTTTTTTTCTGGTATCTGTATCGGCCCATACAAGTATGCCTTGGCTGATTCATTATCGAATCGACTAACATTTATTTTGTTTAAATGAAGAATTGTGTTATCACTCTGTTATTCTTGATGATGTAAACAAAAGAAGGAAAAGCAGGATCAGCTACAAAAATCGGAATGTTGAATATCGGCTGCACATATCGGTGGATCGTTAGCCTGATGTCAAATAATCTATTAAATTGTCAACCTAATGATTTACGCACACAAATGTGACAAAAAGATAAAAATCAGGGAGCGGCCGACACATAAAGCCTTCTGTTTACAAACCAAAACTGGTGAAAAACCAAAAGAAGCATAGAACAATTAAAACGGCACAAATAGCATTATAAAAAAAAGAGCCTGTGGTAAGCCACAACTCTGAAACCCTTATGTATCCTATAAAAACTTTATTTAACGCCCACATGCACAAATCTGTTGCATCTGGAAGCATCAGTGCATGGCACGGCATTCCTTCATCACATCTCTATGCTTTACAAAGAATATAGGACTTCTAATACATTTACTTCCTTATTCAGTAGAGCAGTTATTAAATGTTTCTGTGTAAAGATCAAATATTAATGTAAAATTACAGTTTATTTGAATTTTAGGATGAGTCTGTGTCTGTATTTTAGTTCCTACTGATGCTAATAGAAAGTTGAGATTGACTTTGTTGCAATATTCACCAAAACTTTCACAATAACCTTTTTAAAATATCCTGCAGCCCTACTTTTTATGCATCAAAAGATATCTTAATCTTGATCTTATTTCTCTTCGAGTTTAAAAAATACATCAAAGTTGCTTGCAATGCTAATTAGATTGCTTGCAATGCTAATTAGAAAATACATTAGAGCGTCTTATTTCTAATGCATACATACTTACTTACTAATGCATACATACTCCGTTTTAAAGCTAATGCTGGACAGCTTGGCTATGAGAGGAAAAAAGTCCTGTATGTAGTGAAGGAAAATTGACCTTTTTTGGTCTTTCTATTTAATAAAATATCTTTGAATGCATGCTAATTATGCAAATTTTATCAAAGTTTTATTTCATACATATGTTTGTTTTGCTGGAAAAACCACTGATCTGAAGACAAATTTATTTTTGGAAGGGGCAGTCATTTTCTAACTTTTAAAATGATTAATGATTAAGTTAAAGTTTTATTTATGCAAACGTGATGCTGTTAATGGTAAGACAGAACTGCTCATTTTCGTAGCTCGCGCTCGTACTTAAAAAGGCTTGCCATTGGTGTCTGATTTGAGCTGGATGCTGGTCACTTCCGAGTATCCACAAAATCAATCTTGAACATGAGACCCATATCTGAAGAGAAAATTAAAAAAATATAAATAAAGCCATTCATTAAAAAAATAATTTTAGGATGTGGGTTTGTTCTTTTCTAAATGTAACAATTGGATCCTAGTTTTTGCATCCGCTGAGTTTCCTGTCCTCTATCAAAGCCTATGACCTGTACTATCCCTGGGATTAATGTGTAATGCTGAGCGACTTCAGCAGGGCGGTGTTAAGGCCTCTGTTAAGCCGAGGAGCCTCTGCACAGACACTTAGTGGAGACAGACACACACATCCACAGAACAGTGGGTAATTAGTGAGTTAGGGATTCGAAAGCCATGATGCTGTTAGTGACTTCCTGCTACAAGACATGGAGACGTCCCTGCCCTCTCATCTTCCTCATAAAGGTCTAATTCTTTCCCTCCATCTCTTTCGCTCTCTGATGGCAACCCCCCTCCTCTGGTCAGCTGCCTGACCTCACACCACCAGCATTTTAACACCATAATGCAGAATGTACAAACTGCTTAGTAATGCAGTCTAAGCTCGTCTTTCCCTTCATGGATCAGGTTTCATTTATACTTTGCAAAACAAATAGTCTTTTCCTCAAGGTCTCACAGCCTTGCAGTCGGGCAGTGATGCACCTTCAGGTCTGCAGCTCATAGATAAGCCCAGTGAATTCCAGCTTTAGGCTGAAATTATTTATGTAACTTGTAGGATTTCAAAAAGCAAGTCATCATCTGAGTGACTGAAACTACTTCCCTGTGCCTTTTTACCTTTGCATCTGATTATTGGGAGGATTTATTGCTGGATTTGATTAAGCTTTCTGCTGCGAAACTTAAAATAAATGTTCAGTACAAATGCAGAATTTATGTTGAGTTAATGTGGGATGACATGTTTGTTATTGCTGGTTAAACATCATGCATCATCCTATAGCTTCAACACGGAATCATGTGTGTGTTGCACAACCCTCTAAGAGATGCATGGAGAGGGCTCTACCAGGCACCACTGGCTCCTCTGGAAAGGTGTGTTTAAGGAGATTATCTAAAAGTTCACATATGGCAGTTTTCTCTTAAACATGTATTCCTCCCCTTGTAAAATGCACAAAATCTTCCCGAAAGGTCTGTTAATGTTATTAAAATTGCCACAAATGACCTCCAGGTGTTTAAAGTAGATATAAAAGAAACAATTTACAGTAAGATTTTAAACTTGATGAAAATAATGGGAAATAAAATGCATAATTTGGTTTCTGAAAACTGGTTTTCACACATGTATCTCCCATTTCAGTTGGATAGGGGTGCATGATGCCATAGCAATCATCACTATATACCATCACACAAATGGATGGTATGCTGTAGTCTGAGTACTTCAATCACTTATGAATGCTAGATGTTTGAGAGTAGGGTTGGTCAATAAAACCATCACTACTATTATGTGACGTGAGAAACACATCAGCATCAGTTAAAAGTAAATCCAATAGAGAATTCAGTTAATAGTAATTAACTGAACGGGGATCCAGAACCACATAGCATTCTGGGAAATGTAGGCAGAGGAAAGGTTTTTTGTGCTCGCAGAACAAAATGATGTCATTTTATTCTTGCGGTCCAAATAATTATCCGATTACTCAGATGTGCTCACTAAACATATAATTACAATTCCAGTCAATTGATCTACTAGTTTAGAAAAATAAAGAGAGAAAAAATAAAATCAGATTTGTTTTATAGCAATAATAGTGAGCTATGCTGTTCTGATGCAGCAGAACATTGTGAATTTCATGCCTTTTATCTGAGACACTATTCAGGGGAGGATTCTGATAAAAGTGTTACACATATTTATAGGATGTGAAAGGTTTTGATGTCCTTTAATCCCCTCTCTCTGGTTTGGTCACACTGGGCATATATTGTTTATTATATCAGCCTACATAGTGAGAAAGGAGGCAGTGTGACGGCAGCTTTACGGTCTGCAAACTTGTCAAAGTAAAGATCTAAAATGTACTTTTAGGTGAAAAGTTAAAAAAAAAACTGCCAGCCTTTTCCCACACAAGTCTTCTTTGTTTCTGGTCTCATTTTTATTTTTTGGTTGCTTGTGCCCACATGATGGAAAACCTTTAAATACGCTTGATTTATTTTCAAATATTGTTTGGTGTTTGAAGAATTCCCTTATCTTGTTTAGTTTAACGCCATGACCTTCTAATTTCACCTGCAGCTACCTGCTGGAGCAGGATTTTCCTGGAATGCGTATTGGCCCGGAGCCTACCACGGATTCTTTCATCGCGGTGATGCACGGAGACACCGAGGGGGTCATCCCCGGGAACGCTTTGGTGGTCGACCCCAAGAAGCCCTTCAGAAAGCTCAATGCATTTGGAAACGCTTTCCTGAACAGGCAGGTATTCAGGGTAGCAGAACACACGTCCACATGCAGTAAGGTCGCTGAATAACTTCTGCTGATGTGGTCTGGCATCTTACGAAGAGTATTTAGTGGAAACAAAATATTATATAGAGGGTTATAATGCGAACGTGGAGGGAAAAGGAGTGCAGTGGCAAAGGGAACAAGTGAGAATCCACACCAGTACTCCACATTCCTGTGTGATTGAATTTCCCTTCCCTCTTATGGCCTTTCTCTTTCAATGGGGGGCAGAATGTGCTGATGAGTGATCTGCAGAGTCATCCTACCGAAAAACATTTTCAAGTTATTTGCAGATATGTCATTTTTAAATATTCTAGTGCTGAAAAAGACAATAAGTTAGGAGATGGCCGCTAAGGTGTTGATATTTACTCAGCTGAGCAAACACACACAGACGAGCTGAGAAAGGGGTGGAGGGGTAGAGGTTTCCCAGTGTGAGGCAGTGTTTGTTATAAGAACACTTTACACTTCTGTCCTGATTTGCTCTAATGTCCCCGTCGTCTTTCTCTGTGTGTAAAGGTTTGTGTGCGCCCAACTACCTAACCCTGTGCTGGAAAGCATTAGTGTGATCGACACGCCAGGAATTCTGTCCGGAGAAAAACAGAGAATAAGTCGGGGTAAGACACACTTTATCGTCACTTTAACTCTTTTATATATCCCCTTGTTTGTGTTGCTGTGCCTGTGTGTGTTTGTTAGCTGATTGAACCCATTCAGCTGCAGGCTCACAGTCCCACTGATCTCTGAAACTCAGCGTCAGCATTTCCTTTGGACACTTGTGTCTGTGTGTTTATTTTAGCCGTTGCTTTCAGCAGGTTTATGGCTGATTCCTTTCAAAGAGCAGGAAGCAGAGAGAAAAAGATGAGCTTTGAATTCACTCCTGGCACACAAATGATTTTATTTTTTTTACTCTGCAGGCCTGTAACAAATTCTCTACAGGAGAACTATGATTTAATGCCTTTTTTTCCACTTTTCAAATATTTTCTAAACAGCAAACAGAGCTGCGGATGAAAGTATCAAATGTGCCGAGTTTGTCTGAGGTTAAATGCTTGAGAATAGAAAACCACAGCTGCAGAGTCCGGGACTCTTTAACGACCATTCTGTTGTGTCACCCATCACGGATGACTCTGTCGCCACATGGGTCCCAGCTCCGCCTTTCACAGTCGACTGTCCAGCACAGGCTTAAAAAAAATCCTTCAACTACCAAGGGAAAACAAGCTTGCATGTGTTTCTGATTCAGTTCTGAAATAATTTTTATCAGAAACCTGATAACCCCAATACTGCTTAGGGAGGAGGGAAACTGAATGTTTTCTTTCATATTCTTGTTATAAATGTATTCAAAAGCATCACAATAAAAATGTATGAGAAATCTGTAACACAAGAATGGCTGCTCTGCTCCACCATACTAAGAACCATAGGAAAAGAAAGGCACAGGTTTTTGTAGTCCCTTTCTGTATTACCGTATTTTCCGGAATATAAGCCGCTACTTTTTTCCCCGCGCTTTGAACCATGCGGCTTATAAGAAGGTGCGGCTTTTCTGTGGATTTTAACCTAACTGCCAGAAGGGGAAGTAAGTATTGGAAATGAAAGAATGAGGGACTAATTTTCATTTAGCACAAGAACATGCTAGCAGCAAGCACGACGGAGAACAAATTTCCTGAATTCCCACATTTTGATATTTATTTTACGCATTAAAGCTGTGGAAACAATGAAGAGACTGGGCTCAACTCCTGAAGAGCTGAAATAAAGAGCGGACAAAGCCCCATCTTTCAGTAGAAGCTCTTACTGCTGGGTTTCACTACCTGATCCGTCCCGGAAGCACAATCCATACCATCAGCTCATTTGCAACCAGATACACAATCGGGTCAACCTCAATTTTATTTTGTAAAAAAAACCTAAATCCATTTTTTCCCTCCTCAAAAATTGCAAGCGTATTTAACTACGTGTTAAAGGTTAGTGATGTATTTCCTGAGCAAGTAAATGCCTTAAAATTCCTTTCTGTTTTATTACTTGTCTCTGCCCGATCTGTAACTAAAATGGGATCCTACAAGCTAACTTTTTCGGCTTTGGATTTAAATCTGGTCTTTTTGAGGTATAGTTTTTCCTTTTGTGTTAACCTTATGGTATATAGTGCATAACTTAAAGAATGAAAGAGCTAGAATGCAGATAAACATTGTTTAATCCTATTTTGCCAGACTTCTCTCAGCATGTCTGATGATGACATCAGAGAAGCAGTTTAACAGAGAAAATGTAAAACACAATAAATTGTCATAAACCTTTTTTTTTTAAAGATTTGTATTAGCATTCCATAGTGAGTTAAGGATAGAAATAGGTAATTTAAGTACTGAAATTACATTATTTATTGAAACCCGAATGTATATCTGGTTGCGTATGCGCAAGTGAGCTGATGGTACGGATTGTGCTTCCAGGAGCCAGGGAGTGACAGTGCGAGCCAACAAGCTAACAGGAGCTAGCATTCTTCTTCTGCGTCCCAACTCCAGGGGCTACATGTAGAGCTCCCCCTACAGGTTTGGTGTGAAGACAGTTCATTAGATATCAGCGGCTTATGTACATTTCGAGTTTTATAGTGAGGTGTGTGTGTGAGGTTTATAGTCAGCAAAATACGGTGCTGTTTAATACAAGATACATTTTTTTTTTTA